CCTTGCAATCTATCTGTAATAAGCTGATACTGTTTTCTTTGGAATCAGTGGCGGTAACTAGTGGTAGACAGAGGCCGAAGTCTTCCTATACAAACATCAGACCACAACATAGCACATGATTCTTGTTTGTGTTTATTTGTAAAGATCCGCAAAGGTTTATTTATTATTATCTTTAATTGGACTGAGTCACGGTGTCATGAGGCATGTTATTCGTCGTACCATTGGCCGAGGCGGACCACTATATATATATATATATATATATATATATATATATATATATATATATATATATATATATATATATATATATATATATATATATATGAAGTCTGTCTACTTTATGACTAAATTTGCTATTAATGAAGTTGCCGTGAAGACGGATGTAACGATAGTAAAGCTCCAAGGTAAAAGTTTCTCAAGAGGTTTTTCCGCAGATCGTAATGCCTTCCAGGACGTACGAAGACGCCTTAAGAGCGCCCCCCATTCACCGGGACCCCGGCTAACAAATATATTCGAGTTAAGGTTTTAATGAACAGGTCGGGGGTTACCCCCGCGGGGTGAGGGTTTTGTTTGGAGGCTATGTATCAGTCCGTGTCGTAAGCGGGGAGAGAGAAATGGAGTCTATTCATTACAAGGCGCCCAACATGTTGAAGGGGGTTTGAGGCTATTGTAAGTTAGAGGAACGCAAGTTGTTTTTTTTTATTCAGTGGGTGAATGGGGAAAACTCGGGTCTATTGTGGCTAGTGGCTAGATTTGAGATGTATGGGGTTAGGTACTGTTGCTTGACAATAGGTTAGATAGAGTGACGGTGGATGTGGGTTAGGGTTTGTGTGGGATTGGGTGGTGTTTTGGTGTATGTCTAGGAAGGTTGGTTAGGTGTGATTTGTGGTGTATGTCTTGTATGTTTGAGAGGTGTTCGTTTATGTTTTTTTATATGAGAAATAACGCTGGTGGTGTGTATTAAAGGTTTAGGTGTGTATGTGAAGCTTTATGATTGTCGTATGTCTCAAAGTTTTGTAAGGTGTGTTGAATTATGAAAAGCGTAAATGCCTCAGAACAGTATGAATAAGGCTCTAAACTTTATTTCTAGTGTGTTGTGGTATTTGTAGTGTGTTATGCTTTTTGTAGAGTGTTGTAGTATGTTGAGTGTGTCGTTGTATTTGTAGTGTGTTGTGGTATGTCTCCAGGTTTTGGTATATACTTGTTATGTTATGCTTCTATAATTAAAACGGAACTCCCTGTCTTAAAAAAAATTAGCCCTAACACTCGCACTTACCATGTATAAATCCATATAGTCTAGCACTAACCATAAACCTAGTTACAGCATTAATCCTAATCCAAACTTCCAGCTTAACACTATTTCTTAATTCACCCCCCCCCCCCCCCACAAACACACACACCCTATACCTAATCATATTTCTTAGCATTCTAAGGACTCAGCAATTAGTATAACCCTGATCCTAATTCCAACACTAACAATAGCCGTCCTATTCCAGTTGTTTTATCTCTTTAAATCTGTCCAAACCCTAACCCTAACCCTAGTTTCACCCCCCCCCCCCCCCAATTCCTACACTCATTCACAATCTGTCTCTTCATAGTTTCCCCAAATATGAGACCAAACCAGACAGTAGAGACCACGACCTCCCACGCTTCCCCCCCCCCCCCCCCCCCCACTCGTGCTCTACATGACAAACACGTCTAATTAACTAAATTTTAATAACAACATACAGGGGCTTGAAACACAAAACATTAGGTGGGGGGGGGGGGGGTAAAATGTTGGCTGTGCCGGTGGTTTGTCATTAGGAGGGGGGGGGGTAAAATGTTGGCTGTGCCGGTGGTTTGTCATTAATTTCACTTCTCTTTATCTGGGTGGTCTGTGATGATGCTGGGTCAAAGGTTATCCAATAAACTATTAATAAACTTACACTCGTAACGCGGTGCTTGTTTTTCTTTCTTTCGTGTTGTTTTTTTTTATCCCGACAAGTTGTTTTTTTTTTTTGCGACTGGATGGGATGTGGTGTGTGGGATATATGGAATCACGTGGTTGTGTGGTGTCTGTGTGTGTGGTTACGGGTGGCAGCTAATAAAGTGTTTGTACGCAGTAGCCAAGTTCATTTAAAATATGATCCGTTTTGTTTTTGTGGATCAATATAAATGTTTAAACGCCAAAATTGAAAAATTCTCTTTATAGGTTTAGTACGATTCCTTGCGACAACGTCGTGTCAATCTGGTGGTGTGTACGTCAGTGTGTTGATGTTCTGTGTAATTGTGGTGGTGTGTTATTGTGTTGCTACGTGAGATGTGTTGTTGCTGTTCTGTGTCATTGTGGTAGTGTGTAGTTGTGTTAGCGCGTCAGTGTATTAAAATATTCTAAGTCAATGCGTAGCAGACATTTTGAATGTCATGACATTCCAACCTGCGCCATGACATCTGTCAATGCCATGACATTCCAACCTGCGCCATGGCACCTGTCAATGCCACCAGCTAAGATGAACCAATGGCAGCAGACGTCTCGAGGACTGGACCAGCTGGCCACCAGCAGACGAGAGATTGATTGATTTCTGCAGCCTGCTTCCCGCTGGGTTCAACATCGTAATCGATGTCAGTGTGCCGACATGTTGTGGTGTGGCGGGTTGTTGTGTCGGGTTGTTGTGGCGGGTTGTTGTGTCGGGTTGTTGTGTCGGGTTGTATTGGATTGTTGTGTCGTTTTTGTGTCGTCTTAACAGAGACATTCATCACATGTTGTTTATATATTTTGAACAATCTAAATAATCAAAAGATACATTAATTACGATGATATTGAATGTTCACCTGGAATAAGTTCACCTGTATCACCAGGAATATTTTATAACTGTATGTAAAACTGTTGTAAAAGTGTGTTCTTGTTTTAATAAAGTGCTTAATTACATAATGTAGGCGCTAGTAACGATGTTTAATAAATTTAAATCGAAAAATATTTTTATTTAATAATTTTATATGGAGTCTGGGTGTTAGATCTATCTGTAATAAATTCTGAATCTTAATTAACCGCGGTCCTATGCCTCCCCCCCCCCCCCAACACCGAGCAACAGTCACTGCAAACCTGACGGTCAACATCCGGTCAACTATTGACCTGTGACAAGCACCATCTGTGACAGGTCAGGTTGTATCGGGTTTTCCCTCAACACGGACCTGGATGTGTTGAACCCGATCCCCCCCCTCACACACACACACGGCTTAAACCCTGACGTACGACACTGGACTGACCAATTGTCATACAGCGAGGGTGGGGGGGGGGGGGGAGATACATCCGTCAATGGTCAGTTTATGGCCGAGAGGAAGGTTTGACCACTTAAGTAGATCACAGAGGACATGTCGCCTGGGGTGGGTTGGCCGTTCATTTGTCATTCATTAATTAACCCACATTTTTAACCATCGGGAGTAGACCTCCAGCCTATTTTATAGTTAACGCTGCGCACTGTTAAAAATATACTAAATGGCATATGCCCATTTAAAACAGTTGACTACTAAGCTAAACTGTTGACCCCTAAAATCTTGCCAAACTAAATTATTTAACACTACGCATAACTACTCATCGTTATGCTAAACTATTCACCACTGGCTAAACTATAGACCACTAAACTATTGACCGCTATGCTAAACTATTACCAACAACACCCCATCTCCCCCCCACCCCCCCCCCCCCCACCCCGACCTTAATACAATTAGATCCCGTAGCTCGACCTACTGCCACCCTAAACCAACCTCTCTGTTGGCCTGTATAAAATGTACCACCCCGACCCACACTTTCCTCTAATAAAATCACGGGGCGCCCACAACTTAAAGCATTTTATTTTAATTAGAAAATTGTTCAGTGGTTTATTCCGCTGGTGTCTCGCTAAAAATCAAACGGTAGTGCGAACTAGTACAGAAAGGTTGCTAAAATAATAATTAGTGGGGTTGTAATTAGCTTAAAGCGTCGTGTAGTTTAAATCAAAGACAACAAAAGTTGACGAAAATGAAGAGCAGCGGTAAATTAATCACGTGGTATTTAGAAAATGTTATCTCAAACATGCCCAAGGGTAAGAATTTTGCACTGGTATGGTGGGGGAGGGATGGTACCAGGGTGTTTCTTGATGGGTAATCAAACAAAACGGTTGTTAAGAACTAGTTGAGAAATAAAAAGTTGATGGAAAAACGATTTTTTTTACAAATGGTAGATATCACTGGGGGATTTTCAGTTGGAAAATAATTAATTAGAATTAAAAATAAAAATAAATTGGATAAGCAGATGTAAATGTATATATTAACTTTACAATTATCAAATAATTATAATTCTATTTATCTTTATTTAGTTAGTAATATTAAAATAGAAGCCAGAATTGTTAACAAACTATTTTTTTAACAGCATTATATTGTAAAACATGGGCGAAAAACTGATATCGTGAATAAATAGAAAAAATTTAAAACTCCAATTGGTGAGATGTACCAATCATCTTAAACATATTTTTTATGATCCAACACCTAAATTTAACCCCCAAAATTAATTAGATTGAAACGTGTCTATAAATAAAACTTACAATCTGGCAATAAAACTGATTTCCATTAGTTCTTGCTAAATCAAAAACCTGATCCTTTCTCTAACCCAATTACACAGACCTAATCCTAACCCTAACCCCAATGTGAAGGGAAGAAACCCACCTTCAAAGCTTACCCAAACCAAAACCTAACCCTCAACCCAACAAGAAATCATATACATAGCTTGCGCAGACCTAACCCTAACCCCAACATGATGCAAGAAACCCACCCCCCACAACTTGCCCAGACCAAAACCTAACCTTTACCCTAACCCGAAACCCTAACCCCCAACCCCAACATGAATGAAGAAACCCACCCCCCACAACTTGCCCAGACCTAACCCCAACACGAATCAAGACACTCACCTCCACAACTTGCCCAATCCTAACCCTAACACCAACATGATGCAAGAAACCCATCCCAACATGAATCAAGACACTCACCTCCACAGTTTCCCCAATGTCTTGCTCAGCTCAGCGTTGTGCAGATGTGGGTACTGGTCCGCCAGCTTCCTCCTGGCCGCCTGCGCCCACACCATAAAGGCGTTCATGGGGCGCTTGATGTGCGGCTTTCTCTTCTCCCCATTCTGATTCCTGGCCGGGGTGGTCACCAGGGACCAGTCGTACCCCTCCAGCACGTGAGACACCGCCTCCTGAATCTGCTGAGAGAACCGGGGGTCGTCCGCCCCGATGGCGGGGTTGAAGAGATTCGTCTTTCCCAGGGCGCCGTTTTGAGCCGCGCCCTGAGGCGGCATAGTGCAAGGTATCTCGATAGTCAGCTTCCCTTCTGTGGGTTCCCTGATGTAGGGAGGGGAGAGGTGGGAGGATGTTGCTCGGGGGGAGGTTGAACTCCCAGGGCGGGGGGAGCGGCTTCTGTCTCGGTCATTCATTCTCGTCGATCCAAACTCAAAAGTCTCTAGAATATTCTCAAGCGCTGGAACTCTTCCAAACAGTTCAAAGAAACGTCAGCCGGCGATTTCCGATCTTATCATTGTGGTGCACCATACAGGTTTGAGCGCGAGGCAGGTTTATGTTGTATCTTAAAGAAAACAATCAATCGAGTTCGATTTTTGTAAGCCTTTGTTTCAGAGGACGAGTGTCGTCTGGGTGGTTGGGATATCGATAGCCTGGTCAGGTCACGTGGTCTGGGGAAAGAAAAATCAATCATGTGGTTTATGTAAAATGGCGGAAGATGACGTCATGCGGATACAGAAATATCATGCGAGTATTTCTTTTATTGTTGGAATCTTGAAGTAGATGTCATAATGTGGTTTTAGTTTATATCTGTTTAGTACTGGTAGGATGGTCGATTTTTTAATTCAGTCTTTACACGAGTAGTACAAGGAAAATTTCAGAATGTTTGTTTCTTTAACGACCAAAGTATTTTTTTTTTTCTAACCGTTTGCACCAGCTGTTTGCGTTTTTTTAATTTAACTCAGCCCTACCATTATACCATTCACACGCCATCACACACACACACACAAATTCACACACCATCACACAACACAACCTCATACATCATCATACACATCACTCACACACACACACCATCACACACATAATCACGCCATTACACAAAGAATATCATACTTCACATGACATCACACACACACACACACACAATCGCACACGTCATTACATCATCACACAGGTTGTATTAAAGTCTTACAACCCCACCCCCCCCCCCTTCCCACCCCCACCCCCACCCTTACCCCCCACACCCTCACGCCTCCACCCTATTTTTTAAAAGTACTTTTTAGACCAACCCAACCACAGTACTCTGCGAGTACTCCAGAACGAGGCGTCCCCACCCCATATATTTGTCTAACAGACCCATTGAAGGCGGCTCCCCAACACTCCCCGTATCCAGTTGTGTTATACCCCAGAACGAGGCGTCCCCACATCCCAACAGTTGTGTCATACCCCAGAACGAGGCGTCCCCACATACCAACAGTTGTGTTATACCCCAGAACGAGGCGTCCCCACATACCAACAGTTGTATTATACCCCTTAACGAGGCGTCCCCCACATCCCAACAGTTGGGTTATACTCCAGAATGAGGCGCCCCACATCCCAACAGTTGTCTTCAGACAACAGTTCTCTCAGACGCCCCCCCCCCCCCTCGGGCCCCAGACTTCCAGAAAGACAGAAGACACAACAGGACGACCGATGTGGCAATGTAGTTCTTACATCATTACATTTTACATTTGATAATTAATATCTCCCGTCGCACAGAAGATAAAGGACATTTTCTTTTAATTGGAGTTACAGTTCCTTCGTCAATATATTTATGATTTTTTTTAAAGTTAAATAAAAAATATGAATCAAAATTTTAGCAAAGAGTTGTATAAAAATACGAAAAATCGTCACGGCGAATTTCCCTAAACACTCGCAGCTCCCTAATGAGTTTTTTAATTTTCGCGAGATAAATAAATCACCAGTTACTCGCTGAAGGATTTTAGCGCCATTGTCCAACGGTCCCACTCTGTCATTATCTACTTTAGCGGGTCTTCATCTCGCAGCGGGGGCCAACCAGCATGGGACGTGGCCCTGGCTTTTGATACCCCTGCGGCCGGTGGACCCGGCTTTAGATACCCCCGGCACGAGATACAATAGCAGTTAGAACACGATTATATCTATTATCGAGCGTTATTAACGTTTATAATTTAATTTATTTTTGTGGGATTTTTACCCGCCATATTGTATCTCCTGACTTGTTGAATTTCTTTACCCTCTACAAGAAGACTTGCGGGTTTTTACGAAGGTTTTTTTTTTACAAGCATTATAAGTTTTATCAATACAAAAACAACTGAAGTGGTTTTTGAAAAATGGTTGGGGACGTATAAAATATTCAGCTATTGTGGTTTAAGGGTGGGAGAGATAAAGGTGGGATAATTCTTCATCCTCGGATGAGTGGTAATCTTTTGGTTGTTGTCATTAGACCATGCGAGAGTGGGGTGGGGGTGGGGTGGGAGTGGATTTTTGTGCATTATTAAAAGTGACGTGTCCTGTCAATTTTAATTGCATATCAAAACGTATATGAGTCAAGGGCTGATGAGTCAACATACTAGCCTAGACAGGCTAACCTTAACCTAGGCAAACTTAACCATCACACTAACCTTAACCTAGGCAAACTTAACCATCACACTAACCTTAACCTAGGCAAACTTAACTTATCAACATACTGGCTTAGACAGGCTAACCTTAACCTAGGCAAACTTAACCATCACACTAACCTTAACCTAGGCAAACTTAACTTATCAACATACTGGCTTAGACAGGCTAACCTTAACCTAGGCAAACTTAACCATCACACTAACCTTAACCTAGGCAAACTTAACCATCACACTAACCTTAACCTAGGAAAACTTAACTTCATCACACTAACCGTAGCACTATAGAAATGAAAAGCATCGTCTAAGGACACTGACGCAACCAAATAAAATTAAACCTGTCATAAACATACTAATCTTAAAAAACTAGCCCCAATCTAACAATACTAGCTGTGACCTAAGCTAATACTAATCTAACTCAATACCCTTAGTCTAACAACACTAACCGTAACCTAAGCTAATACTAATCTAACTCAATACCCTCAATCTAACCACACTAACCGTAACCTAAGCTAATACTAATCTAACTCAATACCCTTAGTCTAACAACACTAACCGTAACCTACGCTAACTAACCTTAACGTGAACACTCGGGGGTGGGATTTTACTTCACTAAACCAGTAACACAGTATGGAGACCCAGGATAAAGTTAGTCTTGTAAACACCAGCAACCATGGCTCGTTAGTCTTGTAAACACCAACAACCATGGCTCGTTAGTCTTGTAAACACCAACAACCCACCTCGCCAGTCTTGTAAACACCAACAACCCGGCTCGTTAGTCTTGTAAACACCAACAACCCGGCTCGTTAGTCTTGTAAACACCAACAACCATGGCTCGTTAGTCTTGTAAACACCAACAACCCACCTCGCCAGTCTTGTAAACACCAACAACCCGGCTCGTTAGTCTTGTAAACACCAGCAACCATGGCTCGTTAGTCTTGTAAACACCAACAACCCCGGCTCGTTAGTCTTGTAAACACCAACAACCATGGCTCGTTAGTCTTGTAAACACCAACAACCCACCTCGCCAGTCTTGTAAACACCAACAACCCGGCTCGTTAGTCTTGTAAACACCAGCAACCATGGCTCGTTAGTCTTGTAAACACCAACAACCCCGGCTCGTTAGTCTTGTAAACACCAACAACCATGGCTCGTTAGTCTTGTAAACACCAACAACCCACCTCGCCAGTCTTGTAAACACCAACAACCCGGCTCGTTAGTCTTGTAAACACCAACAACCCCACCTCGCCAGTCTTGTAAACACCAACAACCCGGCTCGCCAGTCTTGTAAACACCAACAACCCGGCTCGTTAGTCTTGTAAACACTAACAACCCCGGCTCGTTAGTCTTGTAAACACCAACAACCCGGCTCGTTAGTCTTGTAAACACCAACAACCCGGCTCGTTAGTCTTGTAAACACCAACAACCCGGCTAGTGAACGACCATAAAGACCACCATCATAGGGGTCTATTCGCCGTCAGGGACCCACTCTTCGTAAGGGACCTATTGGCTATCGGGGACCTATTGGCTATCGGGGACCTATTGGCTATCGGGGACCTATTGGCTATCGGGGACCTATTGGCTATCGGGGACCTATTGGCTATCGGGGACCTATTGGCTATCGGGGACCTATTGGCTATCGGGGACCTATTGGCTATCGGGGACCTATTGGCTATCGGGGACCTATTGGCTATCGGGTGCATATTGACTTTCGGTTTGAAGACCTATTAACTGTCGGTGACATTGACTGTTGAAGACCTATTCGCCGTCGGGGACCTACTCTCTGTAATAGACTATTGGCTATCGGGGACATATTGGCTGTCAAAGACCTATTAGCCGTCAGTATAAACAGACCGAATAGGTTTCCCTACAGTAAATGCCAGTTGAAGTGAAGTGAAGCATAAAAAAACGAATGCAGGTACACACATTTTAGTAGGTATGTAGTTCTCTGCCTCTGATACACTGACATCGTTAGTGACGTGTTGATTATGGCGATGGGAGTTTACACTGAGATTTTGATTTTACATCAGTATAACATCTTTATTTATAACATGTTATAAATGCACCCAAAAAAAAACGAAATAACAATTAAAGGTTGTTGATAAATCATAAAGAATCTAATGATCATATTTTGCCATCAATATCTTGATTATCGTACCTAAAGATATAATAAAGAATTTATTGTAATTTCTTAGTTTTAAATAGTTTTTTAGCTTTTTGTTATAAATATATTTATACATATTTTACTTTCTACTTGTTTATATCTAAGAATTTTTTTTTCAAATATTATGTCGATATATAATTATTTTTTTTAATATAGACTCCAGTACTGTATATAATACTTGTATATGTTTGTTCTAAATGAAATCAACAGTGCAGACGACTGAATATATTTACTTAAAAACGTTATCCGCGCCTTGCTATATTTACTCTAAACGTCAATTATCTGCGCAATATTGACGCCCGTGGTTGTCTCTCTTGTATGAACTCATGCGTGAAGAACAGCTCACCTCGTCACCCAGCCGATTGGGTAATTACTGTCACTTAATTATATTGTCTCCACTTTTGTTCTTGAATACAGTAATATTTAAAATTAATTTATTGACTAATTCAATATCTAATTAGAAATGAAAATTATATATTCTTGAGTTGTCATCGGAAATTTATTTATTTATTTAGTTTTTACAAGAAATTGGTCAAATTTGAGTTACGAGATTTGACCACACACAGAGGCGTAGCGAGGGGGGGGGGGGGGCGGGGGACATATGTCCCTGGGCGCTGACCTTAGGGGGGGGGGGAGCAAAATTGAAAGTTTGAAGGGGGGGGTGTAAATGAAAAGTTCGAGGGGGGTGCAAATCAAAAGTTTGAGAGGGGTGCAAATGAAAAGTTTGAGGGGGTGCAAATCGAAAGTTTGTCCCCGGGCGCCGGGAAGGGTCGCTACGCCTCTGACCACACAAAAACCCACCCACATACAGACCTAGTGACCTCAGTAGAGGCTTGTATAAAAACTTTTTGCCGCGTGATGTAGCCTG